AGAATCAGACCCCTGTCCCATTGCATTTGAGCAAACACGTTACCATTTCTGATTCCTTTCTGCTTTTCTGAGGCCAACGAGTGTTTCCAAAAAATGAACTTTAGTTACAAGCAAGCCACAAAGAAACACTTACACCCACCTGCCCTTTTCCTTATGTAAAAGATGTTGCTTGAGAAACACTTCAAGAAAAATAACCTCACTAAAAAAAAAAAAAAAAAATTAAAATATTGCATGTATCTTTTTTGGTACTTTCTTGAGATAAAATGTGTCTTAATATTTTTTCCAGACATTCGGGACAGTGGGGGACCTAAGCCTGTGATGGTGTATATTCACGGAGGGTCCTACATGGAAGGCACTGGAAATTTATATGATGGCAGTGTTCTAGCAAGTTATGGGAATGTGATAGTCATCACAGTCAACTATCGCCTTGGGGTACTTGGTAAGAAGCTTTCAGCTTTCCATTAATCCCTGCTATCTGCAATGCAATTCATGTTATACGTGAGAATGTGTTTTTTTTTTTTAAAAAAAAAAAAAACAAAAAAACAAACCACAACAGCCAAACCAACAACAAGCAAAAGAACAACAACAAATTTTTTTTGCTTGTCAAATAAAAGGTTTGTATTCTGGGGATGAGGTGGTATTGCAAATATTATCTGGAAGAACCCGCTGTCGTGTTTTTAGTGGTATGAAAGAGGTCTGCCCGTTGCTGAGCTGTTCAGACAGAAGAGGTTTCTTTTTTTTTTTCTTCTGTGAATAACAGTGATGTTTCACTTCATAGACAGGTAACTTGGATTTTTTTTATTTTTTTATTTTTAAAGTGATAGATAATAGGGCTTTCTGTTGGAAGAAAGAGACTAAGTTTTGATTGCTGTGACTTTTTATACTTTGAAACAGCTAAGGAGGTTATGAAAACGTTGTTAAATAGGAGCTGCACTTCTTACCTATTTGTTCTGCACTTCATTGTGGTTTTGAAAAGCGGTGTTGTTATTGAAATACCTCCAGTATTTCTTTCCTATGTCAAATTAGAGAGGGAATAGAGTTACTTTTGATTTATTTTTTTTTTTTCCCAATACAGTGAATAGGATATACTGATGCTGTTGGTAAGCTTGTGTGGCATCCCTCTGGTAACTTGTCTCTCTAAAAAATTGTATTTTGCTATTTATTCAGTGTAGTCATGTTCATGATGCACGTTTGCCAGCTCTTGAGACAATACAATTGTTGGGGTTTTTTCTTCCACGTATTCTACTGAAATGTTGCGTGCTAAGACTCCTGAAAGGAGGAGTTCAGTTCTGGGATATTATGGAGGTCAGTCCAGTAACTTCAGAACGCTCGCATAGGCGTAAGGGTCTTCCCTGTAACATCTGAAGTGGGGCGACGAGCCGGGTGCCGGTCACAGCAGTGAGTTGGTCCTGAAGCCCATGAATTGAAAAAAAAGTTGCCTGGTCATTAGCAATGTCTGCTCTTCTGGTTTTCTTTTACGTGGTCATTTTATTTTATCGATGCTCTATTTCTTTATGCTTTGAATTCACTTAGCACGATCCCCAAATTTATTGGTTCTGGTTTGATTATCTGGGTAATTTTCTTTTAACAGTATCATTTGTGTTAAAGATTTGACATCTGAATACACTTGAATTTTAAGGGGACGGAATGGGTTTTTACTTTAGATGTTGCAACTTAGTCTACTACAGTTGTGTTTTTTAAGGGACTGGGACATTTCCAGAAAGATCATAACTATTTTTTGCTGGATTTATTGCCTTAGTATCCAGTTGGAGGTTTCATTTGTGATATACTTCTTTAAGCAAGGAAATTCTGATATTTTGTATGTTTTTCTCCCTCCTCCTGTCTTCCAATCTGTATAGTGACTGCAAGTCCTTGGGCACATATTAGTGCAGCAGTTAATAATCTGTAATCTGTACCTCTAATCAACATTTTATTTTTACACCACTGCTCTCATCTTTGATGTTTCAAACAACATTTATCTATGTTATATGCCAGTAGGGTATTCTGTCCAGTAATACAGTATCCATTATCTGCAAGCGCTGTTTATTTTTGCAGATTATTTAGTCTAATTCCTAAATCACTTGTAGCTGCGGCATTTGAAAGGGCTGGTTGCTTGAAAGATGGAAATTAATTCACCTTCCTTGATGGTAATGGCTTTTCCAGTTGTAATTTAACACTGATCCCTGAGGTAACCCACTGCTAACATCTTACTGAGCTTAGGAGGATTTCATTTGTGTTCGTGCTTTTGTGGTTCTTTGGACTTTGTGGTCTTTACAGAGCCTCAAGGGGCAGAGAGCTAATTTTCTTTTAAGTGGGACCTATTACAGTACAACCTCTAAAACTCACAGTAGAATCCAGTGATTGGTATGAATACTTGAAATTACTTTCAAACTAACTAAAATGACCCTGTATCTGTCTTGCAGGGTTTTCTTAGTAAAATAAATGCACCTGGTAACTATATGTAGCAGTTGTTCATATATCCTCTATCTGGTACAATGCCTATCTGTCATGTTTTAAATAAATAATGATGACATATCACTAAATGGATAGTGTAGAAACACACTAGGAATCAAAAAAGAAAATTTGCACAGCTGGCCTTTTTTTCTGCCTTCTTTTTTTCCTGGTCTTAAGATAGCCCCAGAGTAGAACTTTGGCATTAATCGTAGTCAATATAATTTTCTGCTGTTTTGAAACTCTTGGTCATTGCTGTTCAGCAGAACGTTACCCTTTGCGGTCACATTAAATAAGGTATGGTTTTACCAATACAGAGCTGACAAATTCTCAACTTCCCTTATCGGATCACATCTCGTAAGGTGAGAGGTTCAGCTTCACAGTCCATTGCCTGTGGGACACCTAGATCTCACTTCGCCGCCGTGTAAAGTGCCTGGCTCTACAAGGAGAAGTAATACAGGGATTTTTTTTTTTTTCACAGGAGAAGATGTAAGGACAAAAATAAGGCCTATGTTCTCACTTTTATATGACCTTTGTTGGTCGGGGTTTCTTGAATCAGTCTTTGGGGATATATATCTTAATATAGACGATCTATGTGAGTCCTAGGAGTTCTGCTGTTGTTTAACCAAGCTCCGCACTGTGACATTTCTTAACAAGGAAGCCAGTTAAATAAATGTTTAGCGCTGTAACAGCAATGTTTTCTTCCAGACCAACAGTGATGGGAAGGGAGGATGTGCTGTGATATTAGATTTCTTACAGTGCTATTATTGAGTCCGCTGTAGACAGCTTTTGGTGCAATTCAGTTTACTTTTCTGTTTATTCTGAGCTGAGACAAACTCTGTCCTACAGACTGATCTGCTCGAGGACCTGCATTTTATGGAGAGGAAAGATTTTCTTCTAAATAAAATACTCAAAATTGCTTAAAAGTGAAATCCATTTGGTAAAGAGAAAACAATAATAAAAATTAAAGAAATATCGAGCCAGGTGCATTTAAAAACCGAACAAACCCCCGGTGAGTTCCCTGGCCCAACTTTGCCTGGAAACAAGTCTGAGAATGAAAGTCTTTCCTTAGGTAAAGGTAAGATGGAAGAGAGAATCATTTGCCCTGAAAATTCAGGGACTACCACATAAGAAGCCATTGGAAACAAGCTATTTGTATCTTCTTTAGATTTTTCTTTAAACTCAAGTCTTGTGCAAGCAGTCTTGTCTACTGAGGAATACTGTGCGAGTCATCTCATACTGTTGAAGGACAGCATAGGAGTAACTGCAGATACATTTTTATGTCTTGTTTTTAGGAAAGGACAGATAGGAAGGCAAGTTTGGATTTTGAACTCAACTAATTTGAGACTTCAAATGTTTATTTAAAATATCTCCAACTGGTAAAAAGCGGGAGCTTTTTATTTAAATTTCCTGTTAAAAGTGAAAGGATTATAAAAGGAATCTATTTAACACCCAGAAAAGATCACGATAGACAGATTTAATGCTGCCAGGGCTGTTTTCTGTGTTCTTTCTTATGAAAGGTTTGCTTAGAAAAGCGAATGCTTTGGGTCAGCATTGGCTTCTACCCCTTTTGCTCTCAAGAGGGGAGAGAAGGGAGAGAGCTGGTTTATGCTGTGTACTCTCGTTTCTTCATTTTATTAATTTATACTTTTTGCTCTTGATTATCCTTTAACCACAGGACTTTAATAGAACTGAAAGAAACATTTTTTAATGCAGCTCGCAAACTGAACTGGGGGAGGGAAGAATGATTCACAGGAATCTCCAGGTTAAGCGCTGCTTTACATTTCCCATTTTCTTCCTCTTTAAGAGGCAGTGGCTTTCCCTGCAGAAACAGTAAATTGTCATTCCAAAGGTCTGGGTTAAAAGGTGGTGATAAAGAAAAAGGAAAAATTATATGTATTTTTTATTTTCCATTTTGCATTCTAAATAATGTCTGCACTGGAAAGGCAAATGTTCTGTAACTATAGGGCATTAATTTATGCCAAAATGGAAGCATACCCATAAGTGAGATTGTCTTGGTTATTCTTTATTTAATTGCAAGCAATTTTCCCTTTTGAGGAGGATATATAGGAACTGTTGCTGTCGTTTAGTCTCGTATTTATATTGTCACCCTTTAGTTGGAGGGTATTGACTGGCATTACTGAGTAGAAAACACCTATCAGGGTATTCCACCACTTCAATTTTTTTTTTTTTTTGCTAGTTTGTACTTTTAATGCTGAAAGCAAAGTCACTGCAGCATATACTGTTTGAAAGACCTGATATCTTTATTCTTACTAGTACTTTATTTCCCAAATAACTGCACTGAAATCAATGGGGCTCATAAGTACAGTGCTTCCGTAATTTGAAATGATGCAATGAAGAAAAAGGGTCCTGGAAAATTGCTACTCAAGCACAGAGCTTCTTCTGAGAAAAGCTATTCTTAGAAGAGGTCTGTTGTGTTTTCCAGCCCAAACCTCAATTTTTCAGTAGGGTGTCATGTCAGCTGGCTACATTGGCTGCAATGTTCACGTAAAAACTCAGAATAGTGAAAGAAAAGAGAACAAAGCAAAAATACCCTCGCAAAAGCCCTTTCCTACTTTTTTTTTAATGACTGGTGGAGCTTTATGGATGATATAGGGACAGAGGATGAGTCGTCTTATGCCTTACCATGTTTTGTTGCCGTGTGCTAGTATACATTAGGAATAGGCATTTGAACATACATATTGCTTCTATGCAGAATCATGACAACCAGCAATATCTTACTGCCTAAAGAGGTACGTGAAACGTAAGGATGCAGCCCTGCAGTAAGTGTTGGACAACCTGTGCCAAGCCTAGAAGTTCTGCCGTTGTCCATCTCTCTCTTCAGCGAGACATTGCCCGTTCCCAGCAGGCAGAAAATACTGCCCAACTTTTCCTTTATGAGTGAGTTTCCTCACATGAATTTGTTCCCATTGCTACAGTAATTCCAGAGTGTAGCTTAGCGAACCTTTTTATGGGATGAAGAATTAC